TCATCCTCCTTTGTTTTTTCCCCAAAGCCCCAGTAGATAGTTGTATGTCATAGTTGCACATCCTTCTAGTTGCTGTATGTGGGACGCGGCCTCAGCATGGCCGGAGAAGCCGTGCGTCGGTGCGCGCCCGGGATCCAAACCCGGGCTGCCAGTAGTGGAGCGCGCGCCCTTAACCGCTAAGCCACGGGGTCGGCCCACCAATGTTTGTTTAAAAGACTTTCTCTTTCACTTGAATTGCCTTCCTTCTTTGTCAATGATCACTTGACTATATATTGTGTGGGTCAATAGGAAAAGCAATAGACTCACGTATTCTTCAACGTTGCTGTACTCTTTTATTAATTCCAGGAGTTATTTCTCTTGCTGTGAATTCTTTCACAGTTTTCACAGAGACAGTCATGCCATATGAAACAAATGTGATTCATAAAGATTTCATAAAGATGTTCTTTCTTAAGAAATGAAAGTTCCTCTCTGTTACTAATTTGTTATCATAAATGGATATTGGATTTTATCAAATACTTGTTAATTTTCATTTATCCCTCCTTTCCTTTCTGATATTAGTAATTTCTGTCTTCCATCTTTTCTTTGTTATCTTGACTAGATGCTAATCAATTTTATTAGTCTTGTCAAAGAACAAACTTCTGTTATTTTAATTTCCTCCATTGATTTCCCACAATGACATTGATTTCTGTTCTAATTTGTATTATTTCTTTTATTGTGCTTAACTTGGGTTTAATTTGCTCTTCTTTTTGTTTCCTAAGGTAAATGCTTACATTATTGATTAGAGATCTTTGTTTTTCCCAATGTATTTGTTGAGTGGCATAAATTTCCCTCTAGGCATTGCTTTTGCTGCATCCAAGAACCTTTGATATGTTGTGTTTTCATTTCATTAAGTTCAAAATAATTTTTTATATCTCTTGAGACTTCTTCATTTATCCTATGTAGTCTTTAGAAGTATGTTGTTAAATCTCTACATATTTCAGGGTTTTGCAACTCTCTTCCTGTTATTGACTTCTAGATGAATGCCTATGTGGTGTGAGAGCATATTCTGTTTGATTTCTCATCTTTCATATTTGTTAGTGTGTGCATTATGACCCAGAATGTGGTTTGTCTTGGTGACTGTTCCATGTGAACTTGAGAACCATGTATATTCTGGTGTCATTGTATGAAGTATTCCATAGATAACAATGAAGCCCAGTTGTTTTGGAGTGCTGTTCAGTTCACCTCTGTCCTTCCTCATTTCCTACCTACTGGAATTTATAATCCCTGACAAGGGAATGTTGAAGTATATGCTTATAGTACTGGGTTCATCTATTTCTCCTTGCATTCTATCAGTTCTTGCCTCATGTATTTGCCCCTCTGTTGTTATGCAGTTACACATGAAAGATTGCTGTGCCTTCTGGGAGAATAAACCCTTTTTTCAGTATTTAATGCCCCTCTATATCTCTCAGTTTTTTTTGGTTTAGAATCTGCATTGTCGGGCCGGCCCCGTGGCTTAGCAGTTAAGTGCGTGTGCTCCGCTGCTGGCGCCCCAGGTTCGGATCCTGGGCGCGCACCGACGCACCGCTTCTCCGGCCATGCTGAGGCCGCATCCCACGTACAGCAACTAGAAGGATGTGCAGCTATGACATACAACTATCTACTGGGGCTTTGGGGGAAAAAAATAAATAAATAAAATTAAAAAAAAAAAAAAAGAATCTGCATTGTCTATAATTCACATACCTATGGCAACTTTCTTTTGATGCGTGTGGGGATGGTCTATTTTTCTCCGTCCCTTTAGCCTTCATGTATCTGTATCTTTGTTTTTAAAGTGGATTTCTTGTGAACACCATATAATTGTGATTTTTTGAAATCTGATACTACTGTATCTTTCAATTTTATTGAGACCATTGATGATTAAAGTGGTTATTGATACAACTGGATTAATATTAACCACATCTTTTCCTGTTTTCTGTTTTGCCCTTGTTCTTTGTTTCTTTTTGTCTTCTACTTTTTGCCACTTTCTCTGGCTGAAATTGAGCATTTTTTCTGATTCTTTTTTTCTCCTCTCTTAGCATAACAATTCCACATTTTTTAAAAAAATACTTTTCGTGGTTGCCCTTGAGTTTTCAGTATACACTTACAACTAACCCACCTCCTCTGCCAAATAACACTGTACCACTTTGTGTTGTGCAAGTACTTCATAACACACTATTCTCAATTTCCCCCTCCTTGTCCCTTGTCAGATTGCTATCACTGGGGCCGGCCCTGTGGTGTAGTGGTTAAGTGCGCATGCTCCACTGTGGCGGCCTGGGGTTCGCAGGTTTGGATCCCGGGCGGGCACCAACTTGTCAAGCCATGCTGTGGCGGTGTCCCATATAAAGTAGAGGAAGATGGGCATGGATGTTAGCCCAGGGCCAATCTTCCTGGGCAAAAAGAGGAGGATTAGCATAGGATGTTAGCTCAGGGCTGATCTTCATCACAAAAAAAAAAAAAAAGATTGCTGTCATTTATTCCACTTGTACATAAGCTTCTCATTTCCAAATACATTGTTCTTTTTTTTTTTCCTGAGGAAGATTAGCCCTGATCTAACATCTGTTGCCAATCCTCCTCTATTTTGCTGAGGAAGATTGGCCCTGGGCTAACATCTGTGCTCATCTTCCTCTACTTTATATGGGATGCCACCACAGTATGGCTTGACAAGTGGTGTGTTGGGTGCGTGCCCAGGATCCAAACCCGTGAACCCCAGGCTGCCAAAGCAGAGCACGTGAACTTAACTGCTACACCACAGGGCTAGCCCCCAAATACATTGTTCTTAATATTATTTTAAACAAAATGTCATTTTTTATATTAGTTATAAGAAATATAAAGGATATTTTACCTTCATTTTTTCTTTTTCTAATCCTCTACATTTACCTTTGAAATGCTTTCTGATAGATTTTTGAACATTTTATTCAAAGTAGGTGTACTCATAACAAATTTCCTCAATTTCTCTCTAAGAAAGTCCCTACTTTTCCTTTATTTTTGAAGGACAGTTTTGGTTAACAGAATTCTAGGAGAGTGGTTTTGTATTTTCAGAACCTTAAATATTTCACTCTACTCTGTTCTTGCTTGCTTAGTGTTTGAAAAGAAGTCCAATTTAATTCAAATCATTGTTTCTTTATACCTAAGGTGTGTTTCTTTGGCATTTCTCGATACATTCTCTGTCTCTGATTTTTCTTTAGTTTGAATGTGATATCTTTGGATGTGCACTTTTGCAGTTTCTCATGTTTAGTGTTCTCTGAGCTTTCTGGTTGTACAGTGTGCTGGCTATTATTAATTTTAGGATATTTTGGTGATTATTACTTCACTTGTTTCTTCTGTTTCTTTCTGTCTTTTCCTTCATGTATTCCCATTATACGTATTTTAAACCTTCTGTTAAGGAGGGTTATCCTAGGCCTCATGAATATTGTATTCTTTTTTGTTTTGTTCTTCTTTGCATTAGACTCTGGTGAAGTAGATTTTTTGTTTAGTGCAGGACTTGTTAAGAACAGAGTATCTGGGACATATTTCAAAATGTCATCTTTTTTTTTCTCTTTCCCAATTTTGAAGACAGTTGTTTGCCCTGTGACCTCAAGGCTCTCATGGAGCTAAGAAGAGTTGTTCATTTCAAGGTTGTTCATTTTCTTCTTGTGAGATCAAGAGTAACAGCTTCTAAGTTCCTTAAGCATGGGATTAGAAGTTGGCAGTGCATCATGTAGACTGGCTGATCAGGAAACATTCCTCTTAAAGTTGGAGAATGGAAATTTTATGTTCTTTTGGAGGAAACCCCTGTTAAATCCTTCACATATTTTATAATCATGGGTAAATTTATCATCAAAGCTTTGTGGACTTCAATGAACTCCATTGCAAATTGTAGCTTGTAACCTGCCCCTCAAAGCTATGAAGGCTCAGGGTACATTGTTAGTGTTTGATCAAAAAGAGTGCTTATGGCATATTATTATCTCACTATGTGTTCTTAAAATTGGTGGGAAGTAGCCTGGGGGCACATGAGTATCGGTATTTTATGGTCTAAGTTGTCAGACCTTCTTCCTTGTGTCTGAGACCTAAGTACTGAATAACTTTCTAGCACCATTAAATCATACAGAAAGAAGGGAAGAACCAAGTCTGTGATGAATATTACACAAATTAAAAGCAGTGCTTCCCCACAAGAATATTTACACTCAGCTAGCTGCATCTGATTACTTGTAATGATTATCTGGTGTTCTTTAGGACAATGTGGGCAGCTGGGCTTCATTATAAAGTTTGATTTCTGTAGTCCTCCTGGATTCTCTCTTTGATGATGGGACTAGACAGAAAAGCTTCCAGTTCTTCACTATGTTTTTATCCATTGAGACCTCAAGCAGACTTAACCCTCTGCCTTATGGAGCTCTGTAACTGGTGGGTCATAAACAAGGAGATAAAATAATTTTTCTCACAAGGAATCATTGATCTTAAAATGGTAATATTTGTTTCATATATATAGCATTTCTGTCATTTCCCAGTGTGCTCTGGACCCTGTCATTAGAGAGAAATATTATTTAATGTGGTCACAGAGGCCGGTCCCGTGGCGTAGTGGTTAAGTGTGCGTGCTCCACTGCTGGCGGCCTGGGTTTGGATCCCAGGCATGCACCAGCGCACCGCTTGTCAGGCCATGCTGTGGCAGCGTCCCACATAAAGTGGAAGAAGATGGGCATGGATGTTAGCCCAGGGCCAGTCTTCCTCGCAAAAAGAGGAGGATTGGCACAGATGTTAGCAGGGCTGATCTTCCTCACACAAAAAAAAAAAGCTTTAATGTGGTCACAGTAAAAATGTGTAAATAATTCCATGCATTCATAATGCTGTTCAATTTATGAGGAAGTGTGTACAGTAAAACAGTGAGTTTTTAGTGATCACATGTAGAATAAATATTTGGAGATGACAGAGTCACATGTAACCTTCCCACAAATGGAGTATAGATATCCAATGTTGTCAGTCTTATGCATCCTGCTGTACACACACATGTGATGTTTTAGGACTCAGTGTCTATTGAGGATGTGGCTATGGACTTCACCCCAGAAGAGTGGGCTTTACTGGATCCTTCACAGAAGAAACTCTACAGAAATGTGATGTGGGAAATCTTCAGGAACCTGGCCTCAATAGGTAAGCATGAGGGCATTCCTTCCCTTCAGCAATTAGAGAACAAGTGTTTCCTCCCCAACATTGTTCCAAAATGTAGAATGTGGAAGGGGGGGAGTGTGGTAAATAAACTAGAAATGGTCACAGCTCATCAAGGACTTAGAATCTAAAATTTTTTCTATAATTTCTAATACTTTGTAATCAATTCTCTGGGTCTGCATTTCAGGAAAAACATGGGAAGATCATGATATTGAAGATCAATACAAAAATGAGATGAGAAAACTAAGGTGAGTCTCACTCACAATGGAAAGCAGTGTCTCACATGAGAATCCTTAGATGTTATGAAATTTTAAAAAGATCTAAACAAAACAAACCTTGTTTCAAATTTAGCTATCAGAAAATCTTCACCAAATATACTTTCTGAAGTGTGATATAAGGGTTCAGTTTTTGCAAAATAGTTCACTTGGAAACAGTGTTAATAAACCCTATATATGAATATCCCTGTTTGCATAATAGCAGGGGTGATGTACTCATCCAAAGCATTCAGTATATTCAGTTTCAGAGAAATCACACAAGGCGTAAAACCTGAACTTCTCCTATAAATCATAATATATATAAGAAATATACAATCATTAATAAAGAAATCATTAATAATGTGCTTTTCACTTTTTACAGATATCATATGGTGGAGAGGCTTTGTGAAAGTGAAGAGGCTAGTCAATGTGGAGAAAATTTCAGCCTTATTCCAAATCTCAATCTGAACAACAAAACTACAGGTGCTAACCCATGTGAATGCAGTGCATGTGGAAAAGTCTTCATGCATCATTCATCCCTTAATAGGCATGTTAGATGTCACACTGAACATGAAACACATGACTATCAAAAATACGGAAAGAAGCCATATAAATGTAAGGAATGTGGGAAAGCCTTCCCTTTTCACAGGTCTCTTCAAAGACATGAAAGAACTCATACTGGAGATAAACCTTATGGATGTAAAAAATGCAGTAAAGCATTCACTTCTTCAAGTTATCTTCGAATACATGAAAGAATTCATACTGGAGAGAAACCCTATGAATGTAAGGAATGTGGGAAAGCCTTTATAAATCCCTCAAGCCTTCGATCACACATGATCTTTCACACTGGAGATGGACCTTATAAGTGTAAGGAATGTGAGAAAGTATTTATTACTCCCAGTGCTCTTCGAACACATGAAAGGAGTCACACTGGAGAGAAACCCTATGAATGTAAGGAATGTGGGAAAGCCTTTAATTACCCCTCAAGCCTTCAGTCACACATGATCACTCACACTGGAGATGGACCTTATAAGTGTAAGGAATGTGAGAAAGTATTCATTACTCCCAGTGCATTTCGAAGACATGAAACAAGTCACACTGGAGAGAAACCCTACAAATGTAAGGAATGTGGGAAAGCCTTCACTTTTCCCAGTTTACTTCGAGTACATGAAAGAATTCATAGTGGAGAGAAACCCTTTGAATGTAAAATATGTGGTAAAGCCTTCAGGTTTTCCAATAACGTTCAATTACATGAAAGAACTCACACTGGAGAGAAACCATATGAATGTAAAATATGTGGTAAAGCCTTCAGGTTTTCCAGTAATGTTCAAGTACATGAAAGAACTCATACTGGAGAGAAACCCTATGAATGTAAAAAATGTAGTAAAGCATTTACTTCTTCCAGTTCTCTTCGAGAACATGAAAGAATTCATACTGGAGAGAAACTCTATGAATGTAAAAAATGCAGTAAAGCATTCAGTTCTTCCAATTCTCTTCAATTACATGAAAGAATTCATACTGGGGAGAAGCCCTATGAATGTAAAAATTGCAGTAAAGCATTCACTTTTTCCAGTTCTCTTCGAAGACATGAAAGAATTCATACTGGAGAGAAACCCTATGAATTAAAAAAAAAGCGGTAAACAGCTCGGAGAAAATAACTGCAAAACATATATCTGACAAGGGGTTAATCTCCATAATATATGAAGAACTCACACAACTGAACAACAAAAAACTAAACAACCCGGTCAAAAAATGGGCAGAGGAAATGAACAGACACTTCTCCAAAGAAGATATACAGATGGCCAATAGGCATATGAAACGATATTCAATATCACTAATCATCAGGGAAATGCAAATCAAAACAACACTAACATATCACCTCACACCCATTAGAATGGCTATAGTCACCAAAACACAAAACAACAAATGTTGGAGAGGATGGGGAGAAACAGGAACCCTCATACACTGCTGGTGGGAATGCAAACTGGTACAGCCTCTATGGAAAATGGTATGGAGATTCCTCAAAATATTAAAAATAGAAATACGCTATGATCCAGCTATCCCACTACTGGGAATCTATCCAACGAACCTGAAATCAAAAATCCAAAGAGGCTTATGCACCCCTATGTTCATTGCAGCATTATTTACTATAGCCAAGAAGTGGAAGCAACTCAAGTGTCCCTTGACTGATGAGTGGATAAAGAAGATGTGGTATATATATACCATGGAATACTACTCAGCCATAAAAAAAGACAAAATCGTCCCGTTTGTAACAACATGGATGGACCTGGAGGGTATTATGTTAAGTGAAATAAGCCAGAAAGAGAAAGACAAACACCATATGATCTCACTCATATGTGAATATAAACCAACACATGGACAGAGAAAACTGTATTGTGGTTACCAGGGTGGGGGGTGGGCACAAAGGGTGAAGGGAGACACGTATATGGTGATTGACAAACAAAAATGTACAACCAAAATTTCACAATGTTATAAACTATTAAGACATCAACTTAAAAAAAAAATGTGATAAAGCATTCACTTCTTACAACTCTCTCCAAAAACATGAAAGAATACATACTGGAGAGAAACCATATGAACGTTAAACATGCAGTAAAGTATTCACTTCCAGTTCTCTTTAAAACCATGAAAGAATTCATAGTGGAGAAAAACCGTATGAATGTGAAAAATGCAGTAATGACTTCATGTCTTCCAATTCTCTTTGAAAACATGAAAGAAATCATACTAGAGAGAAGCTATGTGAATGTAAGGAATGTGAGAAACCATTCACTTCTCTCAGATCACTTCAAAGACGTGAAAGAAGTCACACTGTAGAGAAAGCCTATGAATGTCAGTCAAATGAGGAAGTGTTTATTTCTCATGAAAACTTTCAAAGATATGTGAGAATGCACATTAGAGGAAAAACAAACTTACATGTAAATGTAGACAATGTGGGAAAGCCTTTTGTCATCTGAGTTCTTTCTGAAGGTATGAAAGGACTCGCTTGATAAAAACCTCTTAAAGGTAAACAGCATGAGAAAAACTTCAATTGGCCTGGGTCATTGTATGTAAATCTCCTTCCAAAAAGAAATATAAAGGTAAGTAATATGAGAAAGCTTCATGGAAATTAACCTATGTATAATGTTCTAGAAAACTTTCAACATGAAAGAGGTGTTATAAAAGTTGTAAATATATTGTTTACCAAGCCTCTTTCTTAAAGTGCAACATTGGATTGTGGATTTCTATTAATTACTTTCAGAAATGAATATTGAGTTGAGAGAATTCTGCAAGTCACCCTTCATCAGTTGTACATAAAGATTAATAGGTAGTGCTTTTTCCTGGAATCAGTTAATAATGTTTTCTCATTAATTTTTTTATAATGTTTGAATTGTTCTGTGTTAAGGGGCCATTGAAAAATGACAGTTTCTATTTGGTGGGATTTTCTTACTGGTCTTGTATTGCAGATACTGGATATGCCTAATCCACTGTGTATACTGTACCTTTCTTAGAGAAAGCTCCTTTTTTGGGGTGGTGGGTATAGGACCCTGTTTTCATTTTCTATACTGTTAAACAATTGGAATAAATTTTTATGTATGGCAAGTTTATCAGAGTATACTTTCCTGTGAATTACTATATTTTCATATTTAGGCCTTTTGTCTTTGTCCTTCCTTCTGACTGGTATTTGGAGAAGAGACTTTGAATTAAGTAGAAACCTCTGATAGGGCAACAAAACCTGGAGCTGGACATATCAGCCTGTTATTGCATTATGTCAGTGAGGGTAATATGAAGAACTAGGTCTTTAAGAATCCATCTTCTCTCTGGTTCCATGTTGGAATTCACCAGTAGCCTCACTTGCATGAGATTTGGAAGGCAGAAGCAAACAAGTTATTAGGCAGATTTTGGAGCCACCATACAAGGAGAGAGACAGTTACATAGGAGCTTTTAAGAAACCATCTTTGATCCCATTTTCTGAAACTTGGCCCCTTTAGTCAAAAGTACCTTGGAAACCAACAACAATTGTTTTATTTCCATTTTCTTACAGGTGTTTTCAACTGGTGTTTTTCACAATTTTCACATCAAAGATCCATTAGAGTTAGGATTTTTCTGTAAGGCCTCTTGTGTCCACCAAGAACCTAATTCAGACCTTTGTGGTTGGGAGTATTCTCTGATTCCCCACTTCTCTAGATGGTATCTCTATAAGATCTAATGTGTATAGGAAACACCTGATGCTGTTAATAGTGCTAGTGAGGATGTTTTCCTGATTCACCATGACATCTACAGTGGGACATAAAAAGAAAGACATGGGAGTTTCTCTGATGCATTGTGCAGTGGCTGCCTGGACCCAGCACTTCCATGTGAGAACAGTCACCCTTCTCGTGTCAGGAAGTCTGTGTGTGTTTCCTGTTACTTGTAGCAGAACATATTCCCTCAGTATGTTATCACTATGTTTGATTATATACCATTATATACCATTAAAACTGCATTTCCTTGTGAAATGAACACTTCTGTAGTTGTTTTGTTGATATATTTTATCAACTATATTCTAAACCATTGAATGCTGATAAATATTGTGGTTTTCATTTCCTCAGAAAATATATTAAAATACATTTTAATTATGGATTTTCAGATATACTTTGCAATTTTCTTCATTTAATCATTATATATTATCAGTCAATTTTATCATGTGTGTACAAATTCAGGGTTTTTTCCCCTCAGGGAAACTTTTATTCGTTTATAATTATAATTTTTATCATGAAACCAATTTCTCATTCATTCTTAACCCAAAACTTAACAAGTATGGTTTTTACAGTGCCCTCTTGCCGGTGACCTGCAGGATCATACCTGTAGTCGAAAAGATGGAGATAATGAATTCTAGTAAGAATGACCACAAACCATAAAGGACTGTGAGGTATAACAGTGACAGGGTGCTCAGCACTTCTTAGTAGATTTTGGCATGTGATTGTTGATTTGATTGCTATTCAAGGAAGAAGGTCATTTTCAATGTTGAATTCTGTAGGGTGGTAAATTCATTCTATCTTTGGTAAACATTTTGTCTTTGGTAAATATAATCATTGTTTTCTAGAAGGCAAAAACGATGCAGTGGAGCTAAAGTTAATTTGTAAGACATTCCAGTCAGCCATTTTAGTTAAAAAGGAATATTAGTGATTTTTATGATTTGGAATTTTATCTTCTACCATCTTTATTAGTATGGTAAAAAAAGTACACTTAGGTTTTTTTTTGTTTGTTTTTTGGTGACTGTGAACGTTTGATGAGGGAGATGAGTGACATTTCTCTCTTCAGCAGGATGAGACTTGGCCTTGCAGTGACTGCAGGCAGCTCCTGGTCCTCTGGGACAGCTGTTGCCTTTCCTGCTTATTAAGACACTGATGTATTTCCTATGGTGTATTAGACACTGTTGACCATGAAGTACCTCAGTTAAATTATATAAATTCACTTCTTAGTATACTGCATAATATTATTAATATCTCCTTCATGACTCGACTGAGGCCTTTGAGTTTAGGTAAATTATGAGACATTACAAACCTAGCAAGGGAGAGAGACAGGATCACTGTGCTAATCAAGCCTTTCTTTCTCAGAGACTATGCTTTTTTTTTTTTTTAATAATTTTATTTATTTATTCCCCCCCCCAAAGCCCCAGTAGATAGTTGTATGTCATAGCTGCACATTCTTCTAGTTGCTGTATCTGGGACGCAGCCTCAGCGTGGCCGGAGAAGTGGTGCGTCGGTGCGCGCCCGGGATCCAAACCCGGGCCGCCAGCAGCGGAACGCGCACACTTAACCACTAAGCCACGGTGCCAGCCCGAGACTATGCTCTTGATGCTAGTGTTTCAGCATCCCTCAGATGCCATGCACTATCAAGTCAAGGTCCACAATTTTGCACAAATAAGGCACTTTAAAATTTGGATATAATGGCATGAAAGAAGTTGTTGCAGTGATGGTGCTTGTATGTTTGTGGGAAAACAAGTGATTAACAAATGGTAAATACTTGTCTGATATTTGTCTGGAAATAAGGGCTCTGAAGTAAAAAATAATATGAGCTAATAGGGAGGCTGAGATGAGTATATACCTTTTCTATGAGGGTAGGAGTGAGTGAGGGTGTCATTATTATTGTTATCTGGGACTCAAGACTTCTATTGATTTAGACCACAGATATTTATGGTGCCTTTTTTGTGTTTAATATTATGGGAGACAATTTTTATTTACCTTTAAATATTTAAAGTGTTATAGTTTTTGGCATTTCCATGTTGCTGCTCTACAGACTGTGTGTGCAATATATATCCCATTAACCATGGGGTTCCTCCCATTTAGAGAAGCAGTTGGATTCCTCTGCACTGTTCCAGCTCATCCTGAGTGTGTTCTATGTGTAGAGTGATATCTATGTGAGTCCACTGTGATCTCCCTGTGGAAACAACAAAAAGAGCTATGGGTGTCTAGAGGCAATCATCCAAGGAATAATTGAGGTGAGCTGCAGGGAGCAGGTATCATTTTGAGTAATATCCTAATTGAATATAAAAGGAGAATTTGGAAACAGTTTCTTTTTATCACAGCAGTGCTGGAAGTCTTTAGATTCAATGTTCCTCAAAGTCCCATAGCCCTTTTAGCTGTTCGCAGGTTTCATT